AGGTGCTACCTGAAGTATTTCTCCTCAAGTGGGTCCGCCTGCTCTTTGCGCGCGAGTTCCAAATGTATCAGGTGTGGGCGCTATGGGACGCAATTTTAAGCGTTTCGTCCGACGACCTCAGTTTTGTCCAATACCTCTGCGTCGCCATGCTCCACGAGGCGCGCGACGAGCTCTTGGCGCAAGACGATGTCGCTGGCGTCCTTCAATGCTTGAAAGAGACGTCCGTGTCGTATGCGAAGGTTGTCGACACTGCACGTGAAATGCATGACCGCCTCTTGTGTGAGGACGCCATCGCTGTCGCCACGCGCAGCGATTAAGGTGGCGTCTTCCTTGCGGGATAACAATTTAACTCAAATACCTGTTTTTGGCCTCAAGGTGTGTGGGGCTTTTCAGTTTGGCCACGACTCGCCGGTCCATACTCGTTGAGGTGAGGCTAGTACGCTGGATTTTGCCGTGACATCTTGGTACAATTGCCATACTGACATATACTTATATCTTCCCAACAGTGCCAGTCACTCGCCCGTGCATCGCCACGGTCACCATCGCGTAGGATAACACGTCCACGGAAGCGTTCGCGTGTGGAAGTTGCACCCGCACTGGCGCGATCCGTCAACGCCGTTGGACGTTTCATCGGACAGCAACATGTCGCGAATATTTTTATTCTGGCCCTAAAAACACACCCAAGCGGAATACAAATGTGAAGTACAAAAAATGCCTCGCCCGATTCTATTTCGAGCCGCTTCGCTCCAACTCCGCAGCATACAAAAAACAAGTGCGATCAGAATCCGGGCTCTTATTGGGCGAATTTCTAGAAAAAGGCCAGTTGGCATCGTACTCGGCGACGAGCAAGACGACGATGGACATGGTAGACGCGACGATGGAGCGCCTCCACGCGCTCAAACTCACGAGCGACATGGCGCTCTCGAGGAAGGGCCAGGAACTGCACGACCAAGCCGCTGCGCTGCACGTGCGCGAGCAGTACGAGAACATGGTCGTCGAGCAAACGAAGCGATCGCAGCTGGCGCTCCAGGAGAACGCACAGCTTCGCTCGATGCTTGCGACGATGGAGCAGCAAAACCAAGTACTTCGACAAACTGTACATGCACTCGAAGAATACCGCGAGAAGCACGACGTGCAGGTCATGCACATCCAGCAGCTCCAAGACGAGATCAAGCGACTTCAGCAAGCCAACTTTTCGCTAAAGTTTTATCTTCAGCAATCGGACCATACAATACACGGTGCGTTCCCGCCGCAACCACCAGACGTATATTAACTAGCCTGTAATGTTCATAAACTTTAATGCCCATTGCTCAACAGTTTTGCGCTGGAGCTAACTGTCCAAGACGGCATCGAGGGAACCAGGATGTAGTACCGGTAGCTGTTATTAATAACTGGACTCCGGTCACATCTCTCATTACAAGCACTGTAATGGTACTGAGTTGAGAGCATACTTGTTCACAAGAAGGACGGAAGATTGCATTATAAACGTAAGAGAAGGCCACGCACTACAACTTTTAGTCATTGTACTTGCTACCTGTGAGTATATTTCACGTGCAGCCAGTCAAATCTAACCCGTGCGTCGACGTGCATTGTTCAGTCTTAACGCTAAAGCAAGTAATGCCCGTCCCTATCGCATGCTATGGCATGCCGATGTTGATGTCATGCGCATGGCGAGGTCTGGCCGAGTCGACATCGAATTTCAAAAAATTCTCTTCATGGCTCATATTTGGAGGGACGCTTTCTGTAGCTCTAAAAAGGTCACATGTCAACGGGCGTCGCCAACAAAGACCTGGAAGTTGCATTTTGAGCACCCACCACCCGCTCACCAGCTCAAGAGCGCCATAAATGTACGATTCACGCGTCGTAGGGACGCCATAATACAGAGAAAAATGTCGTTTGAGACGAGTTACGAGTCAGTGAGCGAAAGAACGTGGTCTCGAATGGATTTCTTTGTGGAAAGTGTCAATTTTCCATTCAATTGTGAAAATAAAATATTCCGAAACGACATCGCATGGGTCCTCAAAACGAGTCACCGAGAAGAGACCAAGTTGTGGTGTCAAGTCGCTATTTTGTGACATGGTGAAAAATGAAAATATTCAATATAAAATGTGTACAGCCTACG